ATCTCAGCCTCCTGAGTAGCTAGGATGACAGGCGTGAGCCACCTGGCTTGTTTTTGTTTTTTGATTCAAGAAATGGATTAAAATATGCAGGACCTGGGCTTGTGATATTTCTCTCTTGGTTTCTGCCCTGCCCCCCCCATGCACACACACACTTGCACACACACTTGCACGCACGTGCGCACACACGCACACACATACTTGCACACACACACGTGTACACATAGACACACGAGTGTTGCTTCTCAGGTGAGAAAGGGGTAGGACTGTCTGCGTTCTCCTTCCTCTTGTCTTGGTGACAGTTCAGCACAGGCCGAGCCCGGTGGGTGTCACCGATCTCACACTGGAGATTCTGGCAGAAGAAATGTGGGCTTGGTTTGCCTGTGTTTTGGCTTCACTTGGCTACTTGGTGTAGCAGGACCCTTTCCAGAGTTCTCCCTCCTCCCTCCTCTTCCCCCTCTTCTCCTTCCTCCCTCCTTCCTCCTCTTTCCCCCCTCCTTCCTCCTCTTCCTCCCTCTTCTTCCCTCCTCCTACTTCCTCCTTACCTCCAGGCTGTGGACCATGTCTGTGGTATCTGATGTTAGGGGTAAATCTTGGCTCTAGCTTATTAATGATGATTTTTACTGTTACTCCACAGGTGTGTGTGTGTGTGTGTGTGTGTGTGTGTGTTTGCCAGTCCTGGGGCTTGAACTCAGGACCTGGGCATTGTCCCAGAGCTTCTTTTGCTCAAAGCTAGCACTCTACCACTTGAGCCACAGCTCCACTTCCGGCTTTTTCTGTGTATGTGGTACTCTGGAATTGAACCCAGGACTTTAGGCCTGCTAGGCCAGCCCTCTACCACTGAGCCCCCTTCCCAGCCCCTCCACAGCTTTTGAATATGCTGCAGTCTATAACAATATTTCCACGCGGGGCTACAGCGGCGGGCATGGAAGCAGGAGGCGGGGGACGTGGGGGGATTTCGGAGAGCCTCTGCCTGTCTCAGGCAGCAGGGCAGCAGCTCCCGCCGCAGGGGCAGGCGGAGCCTGGGGGGGAGGGACTTCCCTGACACCCCTTGGAATGCAGCCATTGTTTTCTCCAGGGGTCCACATGGAGGACAGCTCCCCTCCCCCTTCAGGCTCAGGACTGGTAAGGCTGGGTCTCTTCTAACGTCAGGAAGAGTGAACTGGAAATCAAGGCTGGCTTCAGACCTCTCTGGATTCTGGCCAGATTTGATTTGATGTGGAGACACTCGGGGAGACAAGCATTTCGGAGCCACGAGGGTCCTGCTGCAGCAGGCCTGCACAATGGCATCCTGGGAGCTGGGCTCTGGCTCCGGTTCCTCTTTGTTCTGAAACTTGGGGTCGTGTGCCCCGTTTCCTAAGAGGAAACCAGACTGTCAAAACTATCTTGGTTACGACTCCTGATCCTGAAAATAAGGGCAGATAGGCATCTGTTAGATGTCTGTGGCTGTGATGTGGCAAAACAGCAACAACAACAACAAAGAGACCAGGCAGGTGTAACGCCAGCTACTCAGGAGACTGAGATCTGAGGATCACAGTTCAAAGCCAGCCTGGGCAGGAAAGTCTGTGAGACTCTTATCCCCAATGAACCACCAAAAACCAGAGGTGAGGCTGTGTCTTGAGCGGTAGAGCACTAGCAAAAAACACCAAGGGACAGCACCCAGGCTTTGAGTTCAAGTCCTAGTATTGGTGCACACGCTCACGCACATGTGTGCACACACACGCACACACACACGTGCACACACACGTGCACACGTGCATGTGCACAGGCTCAGAGGAGCCAAGTTCTAGTGTTGGGAATGAATGAGAAGGAAGCAGAGGAAGCTGGTGGCTGGCGGGGTGGGGGAGGTGGGCTGTGGCTCACGTGCTGTTACCCGCCAGGAGAATCAGGCCTCCACCCTCCTTCTGTTTCAGCTGGCCCCTGGTAGGTTAGGACAAGTCATTGCCAGTGTCTGCTGCCCAGTCCCCTTGAGAGCTCAAACATGGACCACTGGGTCTCAAATCACCCTGCATGCTGTTTAGTCAGAACTCACGGTACTCTTGCTGGGGTGATTGTCCTGAAAAGATCTAGAAATGACTCAGTGATTTGCATTCAGGGCAGAGACACAATCTGATGAGACTGGAGGCATGTCTGTGTGGCGTTTCCATACTCAGCCCTTGCTTACCGGTCTCCAAGCCAGTCCTGGATCTACTGGCTCCACCACCCTGGACAGGTGAACTCCAACTCTGGGCTTTGGTCTCCTTTGCCAGACGGGGTTCAGGGGGCTTGTCATCTATCTTATTGGATCGGATCAGCACCTAATAAATGTTCAATAACCAGTGGTCACTGCCAGCCTTTTCTTTTCCCAAGTGGGAGAGACGTTTTCCGTAATGACCAAATGCAGAGAGAGAATTTGAAAAGCAGTTTATTTTTTCTTTCCTTGGTCTATTAACCAGAAAACTTCATTAGCACATTCCAGACTGTGATTTCAAGTAAAGATCCACCCACAGAATATCACTCTGTATGTAGAAAACTTTATTCCTCTTTTTTATAATTTTTATTTGTTTACTTTGCCAATCCTGGGGCTTGAACTCAGGGCCTGAGCACTGTCCCTGAGCCTCTCTGTGCTGAGGGCTAGTGCTCTACCACTTGAGCCACAGCACCATTTCTGGCTTTTTCTGTGTATGTAGTACTGAGGAACCGACCCCAGGGCTTCATGCATGCTAGGCAAGCACTCTACCACTGAGCCACCTTCCCAGCCCTTAAAAAAGTATTTTAAAAAGTAGCTTAATTTATTTTAAATGTTTACCTGGGGGTGTGGCTCAGGTGGTCAATGGCTGCCTATGAAGTGGGAGGCCCTGAGTTTAAAAAAGTGCTGCCAAAATAATCCATGCTTTTCTTTTATCATAAATAAGTGAAGACTTTCCTGGTGTCAGGGCCTGGACAAGATGGGATGGCAGCTCAGCTTTCTTTGCTTCTCTGCGGTCACATAAAAGCCAGAATGTGGCATCTGCTCCGTTAGAGGTGGCACTTGCTTCCTGGGCTAAAGTGGCACAGAACTTAAGAGAGATGTGTGTGTGTGTGTGTGTGTGTGTGTGTGTGTGTGTGTGTGTGTGTGTGCATCCCTTCAGCCCTTGGTTTTGCACTATTGCTAGGAGGGGTCCCTGAGTGATATGATAGACAGGCTTATATTATTATTATTATTATTGCTATTAATGAATGGAGCCTAGGGAAGCTAGAGGTTGCTCAGCCTGCACACGTTCCTGCCAGAGTCCCTGCCAGCTGTGGAGGGAGCAGCTGTGTTTCTCAACCCTATGGGGAGGAGGTCAGGCTCTGGAGGAAGCAGTGGTGCAGGAAGTAGACTTCAGGCATGGCTGACTCCAGCAGCTCTGGGCTGAGACTCACCTTTCCTTTGACACCTGTTTTTGTTTTTGTTGTTGTTGGTCGTGGGGCTTGAACTCTGGGCCTAGGCACTCTCCCTGAGCTCTTCAGCTCAAGGCCAATGCTCTACCACTTGAGCCACAGCGCCACTTCCAGTTTTCTGGTAGTTCATTGGAGATAAGAGTCTCACAGACTTTCCTGCCCAGGCTGGCTTTGAATCATGATCCTCAGATCTCAGCCTCCTGAGTAGCTAGAATGACAGGTGTGAGCCACCAGCACCCAGCTTGATACCTGTTGTTATGCAACATGACCCCTGTCTCAAAGTCTTCCTAGCACTGGGCCACAGGGTCATCAGATTATTCTAGAAAGCCTTGTCAGCTGACCTCTATAGCTCTCTGCCTGCCTTATGGTGAGGCTCGGCTCCTCCATCAGAGGCGGTTTCCTTCTGTGCTCGGAGCTGGAGGCTGGAGGCTCCAGCAGGGAGCTCCGAGAGGCAAAGCCAGGTGGTGAATCTGGGAGCAGGAGGGGAGCCAGGCTCTGCAGGCGCGTGCGTGCACGCGCACGTGTGTGTGTGTGTCTGTGTGTATCTGCGTGTATCTTTGTGTGTGTGTATGTGTTTATGTGTTCACATGTGCATGTATGCATATATATGTGCATGTGTGCGTATACGTGTGCATGTGTGTGTATACGTGTGCATGTGTGTATACGTGTGCATGTGTGCATGTGTGTATGTGTGTGTGTGTGTGTGTGTGTGTGTGTGCGCGATCGCAGCCGGGACTTCTGTGCTGTCAGAGCGGTCAGGCCCTGCCTGCAGTGGTTTGCATCACATACCTGCTCTCATGATGGCTGACCTGGCACCCCAGAAAAGCAACCCTGGGGTCCCCCAAGGTCCCCTAGGAAGGGGGCGAGCTAGCTCCTAGCTGGGCTTCTTACCAATGCCGAGGAAGCCAAGCCGCCAGGCACGCTTCGCTTTCTCTCTCAGCTCTCATTTTTTCTCTTTTACAAAGTGGGGGGCCCATCGCTCCCGGGCGGAAATGGACATGGCCACTATTTTGTGATCTACTCCAACTCTCATTTCTCAAGGAAGTCCCTCCTCCCTTGCCTGCGTGTGTTTTACAGGGTGCAGGGATGCTCTGGGCTGGGGGTAGCCTGGGCATCATTTGCCTGGCCAGGCTGGCCTTTGATTTTCCCATCATGCACTGGGGTGGCCACTGCCGATGACACGTAGCCACACTGAGCTTGTCATCTTGGCTACATGGCCTCAAACCCTGTGAACTCCTCACAGGCTCCCACCGAGATGAGCATCAGCGAGGACACGGAAACTACCGCCGTCTAGTTCACAAACAGCCCTTGCCCAGCGCTGAGTCTTATCCTGTACACAGCTCGTGGCCAAACTCCCCTTTATTGAGCAGGTGTTCTGACCACATAAATAGGTAGAATAAATACAAAACAGCAAGGTGGGTTTTGAAAGTCTTTGGTATACGCCGCGTTCTCCTTTCCTCCTCTCCCCTCCTGCCCGGGCCACGTTTTCTCACGTGCATAGTATTTCTTTGGACTCACGAACAGCCCAACAGTAAACAGAGCCTCTGTGCCAGTGAGAGTCCAGGGCAGAGTGTGTGTGTGTGTGGGGGGGGGGGGGGGGTGTCCAGCAGCCCAGAGGGCCTCCTGGAGAGGGTCAGGCCCCAGGGGTCACTCACACATAGTCGTTCAGCCTGTACCCGCTGTGGGACGCTGAGGCCACAGAGGGGGCCCGGTTGTCCTTGTAGGCGGCCGGGGGGTGGTAGGCGGGCGCGGCGGTGGTGGCGGGCCTGGGCGGGCCTCGGTACAGCCTGTAGGGGGCGTCTTCCTGGCAGGCCAGACAGAGCAGGGTGCCACCGATGAGCGAGAGGGAGGCGGCGATGAAACCCAGGTAGAGGGCCTGGCCGATCTCGAACTTCATGCCGCTGGGCAGCAGGGGGTTGTAGAAATTCTGCACCACGTCGTGGGTGGTCCAGGCCACGGCCACCATGCAGAGCAGGCCGGCCAGCAGGAAGAGGCCGCCGCCCAGCGCGGCGAACGTGGCCTTGGCCGGCGTGCCCTTGGCACAGCGTGTGCACTTCATGCCCACCACGGCGCAGGCGCAGGCCAGGCCGGACAGCAGGCACGAGATGACCATGAGGGCCCGGGCCGCCTGCAGGTCTCGAGGCAGCGCCAGCAGCGAGCGGTAGATCTGGCACTGGTAGATGCCCGTACTGTGCCACACGCACTCCATCCACAGCCCCTTCAGGTAGGACACAGCCGTCAGGATGTTGGTGCCCACGTGCGCCGTCCTCCGCCAGTGTGGCAGGATGGTGGTAATGAGCGTGCCCACCAGACCCAGGAAGCTGAGCAGGAAGCCCAGGAGCTGCACGGCCGAGCTGGCCATGCCGGGGTAGAGGTGTGGGGGGGCACTAACCGGGCCTGGCCGCGCCCTGGTACCCCGGAATCACAGCGCTGCTGCTCCTCCAACAACCGCCAAGGTCCTAATAAAGCCGAGAGGGGCGGGAGAGAGAGGACGCGGGTTAAACATTATCTCGGTGCTTTTCTTTCTGGCTTTTGCATAGTTGCCTGGAATGAGCATTAACATAGCCTGGAAAATTGCTCCTAGGATTGACATGGGGGGGGGGGTGAGCTACTTTCCCTGGAAGGGCAGACCCGGGCTGGGGGAGGGAGGGGTGCACAGTAGATCTCAGTGGCCTTCACATTCTGAGGACCTCAGGGAAGGATATCGCAGAGCCCCAGTTTCTGGCTTCTGGCACTTACTCATGGGAGTCCTAGGTGGGAAGTTCTACCTTCTGTTTGTCCTCAAGGACTTTGGCTACAGGGCAATCTCCCTGCCTTCCGTCTGGTCTGTAATCACCAGGAACAGTTATTCTAGACTGTGACATCCTTGAAACAGTCTTGAGTGCCTGTCAAGGGACAGCTGTCCCTCCCCCCCGCCCCTCCTCTCCCCCCGCCCCTCCCCCTCGCTCCTCTCCCCCCAGCCTGGAGACAGCGCTGTCCCAGACAGAGACCCTGCCTGATGGTGGAGATGAGACTTCAGGTTTCAAACACAGCCAAAGCCCCGAGTGGGGGCGGGGACAGAGCCCCTGGGGGAGGTGCGTGGAATAGAATGCTAGGGGGGGAGGGGGGGAGGGAGGGGAGGGGAGGGGAGGAAAGAGGAAATGGAGGGGAAAGGAAAGGGCAAGGTGTTTTAAGTACCCATACCTTCTCAGCCCCAGCTCTCCCTGTTTAACGGGGCAGGGGTCAATGTCTGCACCCCTGAAGATGGCGGAAGGTGGCTACGGAGGAGCTAAGGTGGATGGCGTCGTCCCACGGGGCCCAGCTCATCTCTACCACTGCCGCGCCTGCCTGAATTCACACGCTAGCTCCCAGACCCAGACACTGGCTTCCATTCTCATCCTCTCTCCCTCCCTCCCTCCCTCCCCCCCTCCCTCCCTCCCTCCCTCCCTTCCTTCCTTCCTTCCTTCCTTCCTTCCTTCCTTCCTTCCTTCCTTCCTTCCTTCCTTCCTTCCTTCCTTCCTTCCTTCCTGTCTCCCCCTTCTTATTGGTTGGTTGTGAGGCTTGAACTTAGGCCTGGGCGCTGTCCCTGCGCTTTTGTGCTCAAGGTTAGCGCTCTACTCCTTGATGCACAGCTCCCCTTCTGGCTTTTTGGTGGTTCACTGGAGCTAAGAGTCTCACGGACTTTCCTGCCTAGGCTGACTTTGAACTGCGTTCTTGCTCCTGCCTCCCGGAGGCCGCACCGGGCAGCCTTCCCCTGGTCACTGCATGGAGGCCGGCCAGCCTGTGCAGCGGGGGCCGCGGGTGGGCCTGTCCCCGCTCTCGGCCCCCGGCAGGCGCACACGCGCAGTCCTGGTTATTGGTCCTGGCCGCGGAGAGCACAGCATCTGATTCTCTCCCCGCGGGGAGACAGGGCGGTTGTCACCCCATCTTCACAGAGGGGACAGGCTGGGCAGGGAGCGAACACCGCGGGCCTGGCCTCCCACTGTCTCTAAGACACAGCCTTCCTCCATTCAGCCAGAGCTTAGGGGGACACTCTGGGGCGTCGAATCTTCACCCTAAAGCTGTCCCACCACAGCGATCCTTCTGTAGACGTTTCGGGAGCTGGGGCCTACGCCAGGGGCTTGGGGCTAAGGATGGAGAGGCAGCAGCACAACCCCAAGCTGTGGGGCGGGGGAGGGGGTGCTCTGCGGTGCCTGGGAGGGGGCAGCCTCCACCGATGGGGAGGCGGGAGGGGGGTCCCACCACGCCTCCCCCTGCAAGGTCAGGCAGCAGGCTGGGGATGCGGGAAGCCAGGCCGGACCGCAGCTTAGCAGACGGCAGGGCTGCGGGGGCGCCGGAGGGCAGAGCATTTGTGGAAAGCAATGAGGGCTAATTTTAGGAGCCATTAGCTTGCTATTTTTAAACATGGGCTGTCAGGACTTGCTAATTTAAGAAGTGAGGGTGAATGAGCCCCCCAGCTCCCCCTCCTGCCCCCTGCGGGCATCAGGAAATAGCTCAACTTCTGAGTAACGACTTTTCAGGTGGGCACCATTCCCTGGAAAAACAGCCCTCCTTGCACGCATCTCCCGGGAGCCGCGGGGCAGTGCTCCCGCGCTGTGGCGCGGTGCTCCCGCGGGGCTGTGTGCGCAGGAAGTAGCCTGGCCAGAGCCAGCCACAGGTCAGGCTGACTCGGGTGGCCGTGTGTGTGTGTGTGTGTGTGTGTGTGTGTGTGTGTGTGTGCATTTGCTAGCGAGATATGGGTCTGAAACAAATATGATTGTAAGCATGGGGGGGGGGGCAGGATCCAGGGTGAATAAACGCTGGCCTTGCACGCGTGGGTGCACGGTCCAGAAAGCAGGGCCCTGGAGGCTTTGCTTCCCTCTGAATGGGATTTAGGGCAAGTTTTGCAACAAGTGCTTCTGGGAAAGGGCACATTTGCAGCCGGCTGTCCTACAAGGGGGGAGGGGGGCTGGGGGTGCGGAGCGTCCCCCTGTGTCAAGGGTGCCTGACAAAAAGCTCGGTGAGCACAATAGCACCTCTCGTAGTTGCAGCTACTCAGAAGGTGGAGACTGGTGACACTGGTTTGATATCAGCCTTGGGGAGGGGGGCATGGGAGGGAGGTGAACAAGACCTCATCTCAACCAATTAAAAAAAGCTGAGTGTAATGACACACGCCTCTCATCCCAGCTGTGGAGGTGGCATAGGTAGCAGACTGCTAAGGCTGGCTCCAGGCAGGATGAACATATAGAACACAATACTAAAAAGTGAAAAAAGAAAGGCTAGTAAACAAACGAATAAAAAGTGAGAAAGAAAGAAAGACGAACACAAAGGAAGAAAATACAACATGCAAAGTAAAATGAGCACAAAGGTGATGGCTCCTGAGGGTGGGTGAGCCTCAGGCCAGCGCCAGCAGAGGCCCGACCTGTGCTGCCCGGCTGTAAATGAACGTGAAAATCTGTGAAGGGCAGCTAGGAAAAGCCCCACAGCGGCCCGTGACCCCGAGACTGGATCTGGTTTTATGAGCACCAGCTCTGGAGGGTGAGTATGTTTTTCCATATAAACTTTTATGTCGTCTCTTTCTTCTATAGCCTGTGAGTTACTTTTTTTTTTTTTTAAAGGAAACATACATACACACACACACATATATATAAATTAAGGCTTCTTAGCAGGCAGTGGAGTTCACTTATTTTGCCTGCCTGCCAGTTTCATGTCCAAATGAAGCATCATCTGATCGCAGTAGCAATCACCGGTGGGGAGTGACCCGGCCAACACAAAGGATCTGATGTGCCGAGAGCCAGGGCACACTCCCGCCTTCTGACCGTCCACTGTCCAATGTCCCTGCACACATTATCCTGTCTTCCGGCCTCCTCTGTCCCGCCCTGTGGGACAGTGTTCAGCCCTTCCCACCATTCAGCTTCTTGGATGGTTGTGGATGGGGAGCCAGGAGGATGTTGGATTCTCACCCTTCTATGCTTCTCAAGGTCTCCCTATTGGCTACTTGTAGTTGTTAGTCATCCCTCAGAGGTCTCCCCATTGGCTGTTTGTAGATGTCCCTCATCCCTCAGGGGTCTTCCCATTGGCTGTCCCTCCTCCCTTGCAAACGGTCCTCAATTGTGGAAGCTGCCCACTGCCTACAACCCTGTCTACCTACTTGTTGAGTCCACTGTAGGACATGGCTTCATTCTGGATTTGTCCTTCTAACTTTAACAGAACAAATGGAAGAGCTGCCTTGCAGTGGACAAGGCTACTGTCGCCTCAGAGAACACAGAGCGGCTTCAACGCTGGCGTTCAGCGATTTCAAGGAAATCTCTGGTTCAAACACCTGTGTTTTCCCTGCCCCAAGCCACCGCTTCTTGGTCCTTTAGATATTTCCTACGTGCTCATTAGATATTTCCTAAGTGCTCAGATTTGGGAACAAAGATAAACCCAAGGCTATTTGGACTCATCTCCTTCAGTGAGTTTAGCAAAACCACCCAACAACAAAAGAGGAAAATAATGTTTGTGCTCTATGGGAGAGAAATAACTGAGTAGCGCACTCTGGGGCCATGTTGGGGGCCTGGGTTTCTAATGAATGCATGAAGCAGCTGGGCTTCTTTCCTACAAGCTTAGGTGGGCTTGGCAGATGCTAGTTGAGCACATCTGGATGCACAAATAGATGTGAAATATGAAAAAAACCATCGAGTAATACCTTGGAAAAATCATTTTGCATGAATTCAGGATGGGCTATTGTGTGGGTTTTTGGCTCTACAAATGAAGTTTCCTTCATCACGGTTCCAAATTTTCTGTAACTTTCCTTGGGTTACTTTTCAGACTGGCAGGCATCTATATTTTAAGTTTATAAGGAGGTTTTTGTTGTTATTATTATTATTTGCTATTCATACTACTTTCCTGTAGCGTCTCCATGAGAGGTAGAGACAGGACAGTTAGATGATTAGAACTTACTTCGCACCACAGTAGTACACACCTCTATTTTTCATTACAAGCTCTTCTAGGGGAAAGTCTTGATTTACTGAAAATGACAAAGTCAAGTCACTGTGAGCACAGAAATTCTAAAGCCTTTTCCAGGAGGTGTTAGCTCTCCTTTCAACTCATCTAGTTCCATTAGAATTCTCTACAAATGTGGGAGATCTGCATCTTTTATTTTATTTTATTTTTTGCTGGACGTGGGGCCTGAACTCTGGGTCTGGGCACTGTCCCTCAGCTCTTCAGCTCAAGGCAAGCACTCTGCCACTGAGCCACCTTCCCAGCCCAGATCTGCATCTTTTAAAGGAAACAAATTGAATTTCCTTTAGCAAAATATTCATGGAGCTCTTTTCATAGCTATTTTTTACTCCCAAAATTGTTGCATAGAGTTTAGGATGTTAATTTTCATGTTTCATGGCTCAGATGACTAAAAAAATATCTGCCTTAGGAGAAAAAAGGTACTAGAAAGTCCTCACCCCACAGGGTGACAGGGATCATTTTAAAAGGGTGAGTGAGGACCGGGAAGGTGGCTCAGTGA